TAGCTACAAGGTACAGTGTTCGCGAACCAATAGCATTCCAACGACCAGCTGCCCCGAAACAGAAACTGACCGTTTCAAAGCCCCGCTGGACTCACGAGAGGTGAGCGTAAGTAGGAAAAGCAAGTAACTTGGAACAGGAAATTATGGCGTTGTAGGGGCTCGGTATGTGACCGTATCTCAGTAACATCGAAAACTTCAAAATTGACTGTGTCTGAATAAAAACGAAGGCAAAACATCACAACGGCTCGTGCTATCGTCTTGTGACAGAGTGATCGTATCATAACTTTTTATGATTCATTGAATCTGTTTTATCAGATGACAGAGGAGCCTAGAAGGGGCAGATGCTTTTCAAGTTTTTTAAGCGATCCATATCAAATTTTAGTTTTTTTTAAGGCATTTACAAACAGCTGTAATTTATTGCCAATAATTTTTATTACTTCAACGATTCGTGGAACGATGCATGATAAGTGCCGACAAATTACAGCACTTCTCCAATGAGGTGATGCGATTTCGGACTGCTCTGAGCGATATTATCTTAAGGCAATGTGAAAGGCATGGAGATGAATTGTGGCAAGAATGAGAGGAGACAAACGATAAATAAAATGGTACCTCACACCTTGCCAAATGTTTTTTTCGGAAAAACTGTTGAATTGGTAGCCTTTTTATCAAAAAAGCAAACGAACGCCATAATGGTCAGCAAGCTGACCACCGCACGATGCAGCATTGGTCAAAGCAGCTGTTTCAGTTGCATGTTATAGAATTACGTGAGTGTTGTAGAAATTTTAGAGATATAAACAATGGATATCTTCGGCTAGGAGAATGGAAAAGGACGGGGGTCTGAAACCGTCTATGTGTTAACATATGCAGTTTGTTTGGCTTTCCTGGTTTACCGAGCAGAGGAACACAATCGAATTTTTTACAGTGGAAGTGTCATTTAGAACTCCCAAATAAGCAAGCCTGTATGTACTGTAACAATAATATACTGAAGCAAATATGGTGCGAAGCCCTCGATGCTACTAAGGCACAACTATACGTCGAGCGTCAGGATGCAAACAAGAAGCAGGCCACAAACAACATGAGACAGAGTTTCTACAAGACAGAACATACCCCGAAAAAGTTTCGTCCCCGGCTTTCAGCTTTCCAAGCTTGTTCTTACACTCCTCCACATCGGCTTCTGTGAGAGGAGGAGAAATGGGCGG